CAGGGTTCATTTTCTGCCCGTGATTTGTCAGTTTCATTATTAGTGAATGGTACTACAATGTCTGCTGGGTCTATTCCTGCTCATTGGTGAAGTCTCAATTTTCCTTTCAGAGTTAACTAAGACTTTTTCCACATACGTTTCAGATATTTTACTTGGTTTATGTGATAAAAATATACATTCTAAGATAATATCTCCTCTCTGCATTAAAATTCCTGTAGGGGAATGTTTGGAGGGCAATAAGACATGAATGTAGATAAGATCTGGATCCACACATACACATGTGCCTTCCATAATTCCTCTTCAATCAAAGCCAATTCTCTCTCAACTTCAGCTGATAATTTCCTGGGACTATTTAACTCCTTGTCACCATCTAAGGTTTTGTTTAAATTAATTAGTTCATGAGGTTTAATCCCAATAGTGAGCTATAGATGGGAAATGTCTCCTAGCAATCTTTGGAGCAATCAATCTTTTCTAATTTGTATCTTTTGGGGTCTAATTTTTTGTAAACCTATTTTATAACCTAAATAATTAATAGAATCTCCTCTTTGTACTTTTTAGAGCAATTTGTAATCCCCAACAAAGCAAATTTTTCTTCTTCATTCTTTCTAAAGTATCTACATTTGAATCAGACAGCAAAATGTCATCCATGTAGTGGTAAACCGTAGATTGAGAAATTTGCTTATGTATCATTTCCAATAGATGACTTACAAAATATTGGCACAAGGTGGGGCTGTTTAACATTCCCTGTGGAAGAATCTTCCATTGATTGCTTTGGCAGACGGAGGATTAGTATAAGTAGGCACCGTGAAGGCAAATTTTCCTCTGCTTTTTTTCTTGTAAAGATATCGCTATACCTAGGAGCAGGGAGCAGGGACATGTTTTATTCCTCATTGTAGGGGACAGACCCAGGATGAATGACATGAATGGTCTTCAGAATAAATGAAGCTATTTGTACAGTTTTAACTCAGAAGGATCTGTGGGAAATGTGTGTGGCACAATTATGTTTGTGTAGGCAAGCTAGATATGCCTGTGTCTCCAGGCAATGCTCTTGATTATCTAACCATGTAGGGAACACCCCAAACTGTTAATGGATGCTTCACCCATGACCTCAGCCCTACCTCTTAAGGAGTCCATCAGTGGATGCTGCCACACTGGGGCTCAGGTCTTAGCACAAAAAGTGTTGAGAAAGACACCTGAATTGTCCCCAAGCCACAGGCGACAACCACCAGCTCTTGTTCTGGGATGTGACAGGGTCTAGCATATATATAGTCACAATATTGAATTGTGAACCCCCCTCCATGCCCACTTAAGTTGAAATAGTATCCATTTGGCCCCAAACTCACAATTTTCTTGGCTTAGCCTTTAGTGTATAGATTTGAGACATATTCTGTCCCTGCACTGAGCTAACAATTTTCACATTTTTAAAAAAGATATTTTAATTAATTGATTGATTAATTAAGTTATATGTGTGTGTTTGTGTACATGTGTGCTGGTGTCTGTGGATACTAGAAAAGGGTGTCAAGTCCCATGAAATTTAAGTTCCAGGTGGTTACCAGCCACCTCACAGTGTGCTGGGAAATGAACTTGGGTCTTCTATAAGAGCAGCAACTCAACCCCTGTGTTGTTTCTCTAGCTCCTAAACATCTTCACTGTATTAGTTAATTTTCTGCGGCTGTGATAAAACACCATGGCCAGGGTCATTTATCGAAGAGTTTATTTTGGCTTACATTTCCAGGGCACTTAAGAGTCCATTACACGGGGAGACATGGCAGCAGGTGGCAGACATGAGGCAGGGGTGGGAAGGTAGGCTCAACCACAAGCCCAGCACAGGCAGAGTGAACTAGACATGGGAAGAGACCCCAAACTCTCAAAGCCTACCCCCAGTGATACTTTCCTCAGCAAGGCTGCACTTCCTAAACCTCCCAAAGCAGCATCACCACAGAGACCAAGTACCCACATGCCTCAGCCTGTGGGGGACATTTCTCATTCAACCACCACAAAGTTTTGATGCTGAAATACCACATGGCTGCATGCCATATCTGAACCATCTGCTATGTAGTTTTCAGGACTCAGGCTTAGCCACCCTGGGCGTGTGGGAGGCACTGAACGAACGTGCTAAGCTGTAGTCATGCTGCAGAACCAGCACTGTTCAAAGCCTGCTTTTGCCTGGCGGCTGCTGCTCCCATAAATTCAAGGGTATGGGAGATTCCACTCCTCCAGGCTTCAGGAAAAGCACTTGTCTGTGTAGGCAGTGGAAATGGCAGTGACTTAGGCAGAATTTTAATTATGTATCACAAGGACCAACAGTCTTTATGGGTCTGCGTCACATTGTTTCGTCACCAGGTGACTGTGGAACACAACAGAGATGTCATACTTTGACCTGGAGACATAAAAACCAAGAGGGTGGAGGTCCTGGTATCAGTGAGGGGAGACTCTTGTTTCATACCTTTTTTATTATTGTGTGCCAGCATCATTTGAAATTGTCTACTTATTTATTTTTTACTCTTTAATTGTTATATTTAAAATTTATTTGCTCTAACCTTCATTTCTTTAATGCCCATACATGTGTGTGTGCTGGCTATTAGCACACGTGTTGAGGTGAGAGGAAGACTTTCAGTAGTCACTATTCTCCTTCCATCAGGTGGGTCCCAGGGGTCAAACTCGGGTCATCAGCCTTGGTGGCAGGTGCCTTTACCTGCTGAGCCATTTTGCTGGCCCCTGTTTTTTTTTTTATTCTTTGACAGTGTCATGCATGTTTATAATTAATTTTATTCCTTCTCACTTATATCACCCTATTACTCTTTCTGACCCACCCCTGTCCTGCTGGAACCCCTTTTTTACAAGTCTCCCCTTTTGGTGCATGTATTACCACTGAGTTTAAGCGGGCATGCCTGAATGAGCATGGACAGTGGTCATTTGCTGGAGCAAAATTTGCCAGCTATACCTCTGAGTAAAGTGACATCTTTCCCAGGGCCACCTTCAACTGCCACTGTATTTATTGTTTTGAGACAGGTCTCACGTAGCCCAGACTGTCTTCCGACTCACTATGTAACTGAGAATAACCTTGATGTTCTAATACTCCTGTCTCCAGGTCCTGAGTGCTAGGATCACAGGTGTGTGCCACCACCGAGCTATGTCCCCAGCCCCTTCTAAATGATTTGTAGTGTGTTCCATGAAGTATAGCTTAAATACAACTCTACATCATTGCATGGGATTGCTACAGGAGTCCCACATGCTAATGTGTGTGTGCGTGTATGTGTGTGTGTGTGTGTATGTGTGTGTATCTTATGGTATACATGTCTGTGGTTGTCTCTGTGCAGGTATGTGGGGGTTATCTATGTATGTGCATACATGGGGAGGTTGGCTGCCTCATTTTGAGACAGGGTTTTGTGATAAACATGGAGCTCACTGAGTGGCAACTGGCTGGTGAGTAAGCTTTAGGACCCACCTGCTTCTGCTTCCCCTTCCCAGTGCTGGGGTTACAGACCACAAGGCCCCACTTTTCCTATAGGCTCTGAGGATCCTAACGCAGGTCCCCACACTTGCAGGGCAAGCACTTTACCAACTTAGCCATTCATTGTCACGGTTCAATGCATGTTGTTATTATTGCTGTTTTTTTTTTTTTTTTTTTTTTTTTTTTTTTTTTTTTTTTTTTTTT